TGTCGGTGTCGGTTAGTTAGTTCTTAGGTATTTATTTTGATAAATGGATTTTCATCAAGTAAAAGCCACCTCAGTTCAATTACATAATAAAAAAAAAATGCATTACTGTAGCTCTAAAAACAAACTTTGTGAATTCGAGATAAATAGACAAGATAGGAGATCGGTTAAAATGAGGTGCTGTATTTGGGGACATAGAATTTTAGAGTCAATATTTTATTAAGAAAATTTGACAGCAGTGCGATTTTTAAATTTATTAAAAAATTATATTGATCCTTGTAGTCGGAATACTATTCCTGAAATCGAATATCCAAATTTAATTTGGCAACAATATGGCGCTCGTTTATCATCGAAATGTGAATTTTTAACTTTAAATTTTAGACAATGGATTGGGCAAAATGACACCATCTTGTGACCAGCAATGATCCCGGATTTAAACCCACTAGGCTCAAAGAACATAAACCGAGAGTCTATTGAAATCTATAATCAATCTAGCAATCTTAACAGCGGTCTTTACCTGTGACCAATATGGGAATCAGTCATCCGAGACCATGTGCCCCCTCAAACAATATGTCAGCAGGTACAGAGTAAAATGCTAGTTCGACTCAGCAAAAACCGACGCAGGAGGAATCCAGAAGTTTTGTAAAAAGCAAAAATTGTCAAATCCGAAAACAACACAAAGAAAAGAGAAATCTTAGAAATGATTAAAATTCAAAAAAACAAAAATCCTATAAACGCCAAGACAGACACCAACAATCTGAGTAAATTATATTGCAGCATCCTTAAAGAATACATTTCCTAGTCTAATTTTAATATTTCTCATATCACAAAAACAAAAATTCTAGGTACGTGACCAGCAATTTTGTTAACTGGAATATAATATAATGTTCCCCCACCTTGACTTTAACTGTCTAGGTAAGATTTATCCTTTATTGTATGACTGATCTCTTTGTTAAATGTAATTTTTAGATTATTTTATTCTGAGGAAGGTCACATTTGCATTCTTATTTGAAAGGGGTATTTCCAAATACAATAAAATATAATACAAAAACAAATTTAGTATTCAAATTTTTTTTATAACACTCATTGAGGGTCTTCTTGAATTTTCAACAACATAAATTCGCAAAATTCTATTTTCCGTTCATCGTCGCCGAGTCCGAAGGCCTGCATGTGTTGGCAGGTTGAGGTATGATATGAGGTGCAAAATATGTCTTTAAAGTGTCACTTCTAGCGTTAATAGTATTAAAAAAATCATTTCGATAGCTTAATTCGCTACGTACGTATTTCGTTTTGTTTTCATGTATAAAAATGTCATCCAATATGTTTAGACCTGTTCTGGGAGATTATTTACTGGCATCGACGAAATTGAAAAATTCTTTTGTAAGGCTTTTAGTTAGAAAAATGCACTTTTTTCTACCAAAAAAAACTTTCATGTATATTGGTGGAAACCGTATAATATTGAATTATTTTTTATTGTTGTTTGCACCATCCTATGCCCACAGTACAACTACCCACATATAAAGTTAGATACAGTTATTTGGCAGAAATTTTCATAATAATAAAATAAAATTTTGAGTATTTTATGTCCCCTCTTCTTTTTAGTGTGCCACCGGCCAAAGGTTGAAAATCACTGTTAAAGCATTCATTATGTTACGAAGTCTTTTCATTTTTTAATTCAAATCAGTATTTTCTCGCTAGGTAATTAGCTGTGCTAAAGAAACTAATAACAATAATAACAAATTATTAGGTAAGTGTACTTAATTTTTTAACACAATATAACCCAGGAATTTGTGGCAACTGACTTATGGTATTTATGGATATAAGTCAAAAATCGCGAGATGGGGTTTGGTGGAGTGATCAGTAATCTTGATTTGGGATAATATAACTCTACTGCGAAACTTACCTACACGTGCGAAAAATATTACCTTTTAAGCCACAAAACAGCTTCAGTTACAATCAATTCGTCTTCACTTTGTTCTTTCAGTATTATATCTTGTACAAATTTGTACTCTTGCATGTCCACTTCGAATTTATTTCGCAATTTCTAAAACACACATTCGGGTGCAGTTTTTTCTAATAACAATAATAACTAAAACTATTTTTCAATAAATATTTCCAAATTTTTCAAACAAACTTCCACAGCCTACTGTAATACTATTTACAAATCTGCTGAAATCCTCCTACGTCGGGTGCTGATAAATCGAATTTGCTGACATTTTTATTATTATTTATTATTATTATTATTATTATTATTATTATTATTATTATTATTATTATTATTATAAAGAATAAAGTTCAGAGGAGAAACTTAATATGCACATTGATAGTTAATAGCATGTTAATGTTATACATATAATAAATATTTAGTTATTGCTGTGGAACAATACACTGTCCAAGCGACGTTTAAATACAGACAAGTTCGGTGCACACACAACTTCTGAGAGTAAACTGTTCAATAATCGAAAGTCCTGTTACTTATAAAATGCAGAAAATGTGATGTCCTGAATCGTTCCTTTCTTATTTTAAATGGATGACCACGTAGGCGTTCATCATTCCTATATATTTGAATGAGATCCCCTCGCAGCCGACGCTGACTTAATGTTGGCAGACCAAGTATTTTGAGATGTTCATCGTAAGGTGTATGTCTAAGTTGAAGTAGCCAGCGCGTAACGGCTCGCTGCACTCTTTCCAGAACATCACAGTCCCTCAATAGCCATGTATTCCAGACTGGGGAAGCAAATTCCAGGATGAGGCGAATGTAAGTGGTAAAAAGTCTGCAAGCGATGCGAGGACTAGGATTTTTAAAAGTCTTTTTTAACAAACATAACGCGCAGTTTGCTTTCTTTGTAATATTTTATACATGTACAGACCAAGCAAAATCATTAGTTACTGTTACACCTAGGTCCATCTGAGAATCGACACTTGACACAAAGTTTCCATTGATATAATAGTTCAAACCGGGATTGTTCTTGCCAACATGCAGCACAGAACACTTTTCAGCATTCAGCGGCAATAGCCAAGTTGGACACCACTTGAAAATAGTATTCAAGTCTCTCTGCAATACGTCCGCATGTGTTGAAGAATTTTCAAACAATTTACTGCCTTCAGCATAAGCGCTCACATGAGAATCAATGGTGTAGAGCAAATCCACGGTGTACACTAAGAATAGCACAGGTCCCAGCACCGATCCCTGGGGAACACCACTAGGCACGTTTTGTGGCAGTGAAAAAGCGTTGCCAATTCGAACTCTCAACGGCCGGTGCCTTAAAAACGCTGTTATCCACTCTAGCAGTTTACCCCCACTCCAACCTTTTCAAGTTTGAATAACAAGCGTCGATATGGCACTGTCGAAAGCTTTGGTGGAGTCGAGGTAAATAATATCCACCGAATCACCTGGGTGAAGAGATAATGTCCAGTGATTCAAGCATGTCAATGTATTTAATATGACTGATCTGCCGGGAACAAAGCCATGCTGCAATATAGGTATAATATGGCAGTCGATCGAAAACGGTAACGGCTGATTTACTATAAGGCATTCAAGAACTGTAGAAATAATACACACTAGGCTGATAGGGCAGTAATTTGAAACAACCCTTTTTATAAATCGGTGTTACATTTGCGGATAACCACTGGGTCGGGAGTGTGGCAGAGTCCAAAGATTTTCGAAAAATAATAGAAATAGGCTCTGTAAGCACAGCGCAAAATATTAGAAATAGGCTCTGTAAGCACAGCGGCACATGTTTTTAAGATTTTACTGCAATTTCCATTAGTTCCGAGAGCAGAATATTCTTTTTTGTACTCCCGTCTGTAAAATACCTAATTACACGCCGATCTAGCGTGCGGGAAGCGCCACTTTACCACGTCGGTTTCGTTTCCCACGAATCCGAGCCACTTCGGACATTTCCGGGATTTTACCGCACAGGTTTGGGAGCAATTGGATGTTTTCGGAGATATTTCCGCGCTTTGAATTTTGACATTTTTCATTTCTGACGGTCATGTCGGTGAATGTATTTGTGTTGTTGTGCGAAAATGTATCCAAAAACTAACGGTCGTAGAAAAAAATTGACGAGGTCATTTTAAAAATACTGACTTCGCCTCTCTAATCTCTAAGGATAAACTATTTTTCAGAATTGAACTTAATAAAATGAGTTTTGGAGCTTGTGCCTATGTAATGATTGATATGATCCAGAGTAGACAGAAAATATGTCCACGCATCATTAACGTCGTTATCAAAAATGTTCCAATTTGTCAAGTAAATTGGGATCCGGGGTAATTACAAGATCAAGAGTTGACGGAGCGTCGTTCTCTCGGAAGCGCGTGTGTTCTTCAACAAGGTGACTAAGATTACAATGTGACAAAAAATCTAGGAACATGTATTCCTTAAAAGTGGGGACAAAGTCGTTTGAAGTAACAGGCCAGGATATTCTTGGGAAGTTAAAGTCGACAGTAATAACAGGATTGACGGAATTTGTGACAAAATTGTTCATGGATTGTATGAGCTGAAGATTAGAATCATTATCAGTATCGCGTCCACCATCTGACCCATCACTAAATCTAAGAGCTTGATCCTGTAAGTACCGCCAATATGATCAGCAACGTAAACACAAGCACCGCCACCCTGCCTGCTAGATCGATCGGAACGATAAATTGCATATCCTGGAATAGATATGATGCAGTCGGAAATAGAAGCTTTAACCAGGTTTCAGTTATTAGAATACAGGCAGGTTTAACGGAACTCACATAAGCAACAAGAAGATTAAATTTGGCAGGTATTGAGCAAAGATTGGTGTAAACAATAGGCAAGGAAACAACAATTATTTTTTTGGTATCGAGATGTTAACATTTGAAGGCACACCTTAACTGCTTTTCACCTCTCTCGTGTCTGTCCCTCAGTTCCTTCCTTTTCTGCTCCAAAAAGTCGCGCTGAGAGCGCGTTTGGTCGTCAAATACCTTAACATTCCTAAACGGTCCAGTAAGAAGCTTGTTTTTCTGTTTTAGGATTTTTTAAACCGCTTCTGCAAGAAGGACTCCCAACCGAAACACCCAGACATTTAGAATTTCATTCGTTATCTGATGTATAATCTCCGTTACCGATTGCTTATCTTGTTCTGGATCAGACTCGAGAACTAATTGAATTAGCGATCGCAGCGTCGAGAGCCGCTATGCGACTGTTCAAGGTTGTTTCCATTCTCTCCAACCTCTTATTCAGCTCATCTAACTGTCTATCTCTTGCCTCAAGTTTTTTAACTAGTTGATCAAGCTTGTCCTCATCCTTACTGCATTTACCGCACAATATTCTAAAAATTTTTAGTTTGTTGCATGTCATACAAGAAGCTGTCTTCTTCGACAGCCCCACACAGTCGACATGCAAGGCCTAATCACAACCACTGCACTTAACACTGGGCCTTTGAGAAGATAGCGATGTATTGCACTCCTTACAGGACATCGCGTTTTATATTGATCGGTCCTGGTAGCGGCCGAAGTGGACCGGATCCAGAAAAACTTATACCTTTTTTGAACGGTACAAAAAGTCAGACCGGGGTAATCAAATGTGTTTAGTCTAAACTGCTAACTAAGAGTATTTTCACGCAATACACTACAGACGTAAGCGCGCATCAGACGTAGATATATAAGCTAGTACGAAACAGATCACTTAACTAAATTTCAGCAATAAAAATCAGACTTAGTTACACGCAAAAACTAATCAGAGCAACAGAACCGACATCCGCACGAGTTGACGGTAGATCTTATTTTGCCAATCATCCTGTTGCCTTCTTCAGAGTCTAAACGAAACGGCCTCGCAGTCTCCTCTGTATCTGGTTACATACTTCGGGGGAGGGAGCTAAAAGGGGGGCATGAGCATTATGCTGCTTTAGCATCGCCCACTTCAAACGGTATATAGACAGGTATAGAGTAGAATGCGAGACAGTTTCGTTTAAGGTCTGAAGAAGCCAACAGGATGATTGGTGGTGATGTAAACAACAACATTCCTAATATTGAAGTGCCAGTGCCAGTGTTGGACACAAATGAACCCCAAAATATACTGTGTGACATAGAAATTGCAACACCTATTAAGTATTTTGTTGTGGATATTACAGAATGATTATTGTTATATATACAAGGTTAATCAATAGTCACGCAATTTATTAAATTTAGTACCCTATACCGAAATTCAACCGTCTTTGTAGGAATTATAAAAATCTCAAATAGCTAATGATGAATGAATGAAAATTTATGAAAAAGTGTAGTATGTATCATGTTTGGTAAACTTTTTAAGTCACTCGTTTATTAAGCACTCGGTCCGCTCGTGCCAAGTCAATTCGTGACTCGAATGCGCTTTACTAGTAGTTGCATAACGAATTGGTAAACTGAAATAACAATTAAAATATTTAAAAACAAAGACGAAGGTAGTCTTTTTAATAAATGCTCAACTTGTAGTCCTTTTGTAACTTAACAATTATCTAAATAGTCTGTAGATTCCCGTAGGGAGTTTTGGAGAGCATTCGGTGGTATAGCTCGAATTTCGGCTCTTATTCGCTCTTCAAAGTCAGCCAAGGTTATGGGTTTGGTTGTATACGCATTAGTTTTGAGTTCACTCCAAAGAATAAAAATTAGGGGATTTAAATCTGGCGATCGAGGCGGCTATTCGATAATCCATCTTTGTCCAATCCACCGATTTGGAAACGTTTGATTCAGGTACTCCCTTACATTTTGTGTATAATGCGATTAATAACCATATTTCGCCATTTCTAATGTTCGGATATAGCAGAGCTTACTGTGTCCTTAAAAGGAAATCATATTTTTCACTGGCGAGAATGTTATTGGCAAAGAAAAGGCCTATAATATTTCCACCAATTATTATAACCCATTTAGCTTTTGAGTATATTGGGTACGATAGTAAATTATCCATTGGAGATTTGCGTTTGACCAATATCGGTGCAATTGGTCGATTAACAAAGCTTCAAACAAGATTACAAAGATTCAAACCAAAAGCCGCCTTATATGGCACCATCGTTTACGTCTCTCTTGGATCTAAACTAGATTGAAACCTCCGTGCACCAAATTTCAAAAATTGAAGTCTAATAATTCCTGCGATATTGACTAACCTTAAATATGGTAAATAATAAATTAATTTCAACTTACTTTAAGATTTCCACGCATGTCGTTCATTACTGGGGCAAACACTTTTCCAAACTTTTCTACGAAATAAAATTAAAAATCGCAATAAAAATTTGGGGAAAATTTATCAAAGTATGTACCAAGAAGGCAAAGAGCATCGGCGCAAGCTTCGATGAATTCTAGCGTCATTATTTTCTTGTTGCAATTCGGAAAAGCTATCTTCATACTTGAGAAAATGGTTTTGATTTGTTCATTTGGAGAGGCATAGTTTTTCACTGACATTGTTCTGAATTTTGGTGCAATTGAAAGCTTTCAAATAAATTCGAAAATTATCTTCTGTCTTTTCAGACGTTTCATACGGCTAGTTCCCGAGCGATAATTTGGGCGTTACCATGGCTCTAAATTGAGGAACAATAATAAACTTAACAAATGGGTGTTTTAGGACATAGATACGTTTATAAAGGTATAATAAAATCACGTTGACTTTCCAAAGAAACTTCCGCGGGCTGTGGAACTTGTAGGTACGCATCCTCTGGATTTCTCCTGCCGAGGAGTGTTGACTCTGTTTCGCCGACTTTTTCAGAGCGCTGTCTGAATCTAATTTGTTGATTGGTCTAAACGCACCATAAACTCCTTGTCGTCTAGGATCAAATGGTAGACGGAGTTTTCATTGTGGTCAGTGTTGGATAGCGCCGCAGTTTTCAGAGGATTAAAACATATGCAATGAAATGTTTAGGTATTGAAAATATAGATAGATAAATTAGAATTTTTTTGGATATACATAGGCGAACAAAATGTTGTGCTACTATTTCATTAGGCATAATCCATAAGATTACAAGTACATCCTTTTATGCTAACTACAATATGGAGCGAGCTCGGAATAGCAAAAAGTGTTTACACCATTTACATGGTGCAACATAATTTTTCCTCTGTCTGAAATTATCGCGTAACATTTTGAATGTGATTGGCTGTGTTGCTATGTGTTCTTGAAAAGAACTTCTTATGTTAACCGAGCCTCGTATTTTCCTATTTACTTTCTGATTCAAATTTAACAAAATGTTTGTATTGTATAACAATGCCAATGGAATTATGATGAAGGTGACACATACGTTAAAGTTCGACGTAAATAATTTTCTTCAATTTTATACCCTTTTAAGGTTTCGGCTTTTCCATTCATTTATTGTTTTACATTTTTGCATTTAACTTCATGTATTCAATTATATTTCAGAAACAAATACCCAATTTTGGGCTCCTGTCAATGACATGGATCAATTTAATGAAAGCAATTGTTCTGAAGATCTAGAAATGAAAAATGGTATGTAGATACTTTTTATATGTTATTAAGTAAGTGCCTTACCTCTCATTCATTACTTTCTGTTGATTAAACAAAACACAAAATTATGAAATAATAAAAAAACATGCTTTTATACGAGATTTATAACCGCAGGTCTAGAAGAGATCCATGAACCTGGCAAAAATCTGTCATGGAGCCATGTAAAATCACTTCTAATTAATTTATACTCTAGCCACGAAAAGTTTTTTGATATTATGTTAAAAAAAAAAACATGTAAACAAGACAAACATTAACTTTTGAACAGACGTGGAAAGCCTTAAAAAGGACCTACAAGAACATAAAATTAAAAAATTCTCAGTGTGGTGAAAAACGCGAATATTGAGAATATTTTTTACTAATGGATTATATACTAAGCAAAAAGCAGGGAATAAATCCACCAGCAACTACCACTCCATGAGGTCATATGGTATAGTCTGTCTCAATCTTCATCGTGTTGGCTTTCGGCGGACCCTCCCCAAAAGACCTAAAAATAACGATGTTATTCTCTATTGTTATTGGCTAAAGCCATTAAAAGAAATTTATTCTTAATTGAATTAACGCAGGGGTGGGTGTTGACCATTTAAGGCAGTGATGAATAATCATTTTTACTGTGAGTTCCGAAAAGGTTATTTTATTTCTCGTGGGATATTATTAATAGTGGAGAATTGAAGAAACGAAATAAACGTAGATTTTCAAGCTCATCGCATATCCAATAGTGATCAGGACCTAATAAGAAGAATATATTGTGTTTATCAAAACGAAGTTGTACCTACCTGGGATAAGTTGAAAAAGAAGCTAAAAATAACTGAAATCAATATAAATAGAAGCTGTGCCACCCTCTATAGAGTTGTTTGTAAAATGGAATTTAAGTACCACAGGATAGACAAAAGTAATGGAATCAGGTGGGATTGGTCCCAAAGAGTTTACTGTTGTCTGCAAAGAATATTAAGGATTCCAGCTCAGATTATCATGAGGATACAACATTTTAAAAATTGGTTTCAAAACAATCTTTTAAAAAATATTCCCAATAACAGTGTTATTGTAATAGATAACGCAAGCTATCACATCCGTCTGCTATGGAAAGCACCAACCACATTAAGTTGAAAAACTCAAATCCTTATATATTTGTGAGAAAATGACGTTTATTTTGAATTCAGTGACAAAAAACGAAACTTTTGGAAATCGTAAATTCATATGCAATTAAAAAACGGTATATATGCGATAATAGAGCATGTAAATTCGAATTTCGGAGCAATGTTACTCCTATTTTAAATCTCAGTGTTATCAATTTGATAAGAAATGTAATTAATAACATTCCAATTGAAAGTTTGAAAAATTCTGTACAGCATATCATAACATTTCTATACAGAACAACATAAATCCTATCATAATTAATCTCAATAACGGCTATGATGGTGAAACCGAATTTGATTTAGATATTTAGAATAAAAATAAAATTATGTTTAGATATGCCTAGCTATAAATTTATTATGTCATGTCATTGTTTTTTTAGTGTAACATAATAACCCAAATAAACTTTTTTTTATTATTACCAAAAAATTTGAGAGTCCGCCCGTAATGTTCTGTCCTTTGATACTATCGGACCCGAGTTTTATTACCGCCTGTAGGTAACTTCCATAATTTTGGCCAAAAGCAAGCGCGATGAAGATCGAGACAGACTATATTACCACTTTGATATTTTTAGTGTCTTACATCTTCATACTCACGTTAAACAGTTGCATGCCCAACCAGCCTTGGTGTGATTCCAATGTGTGTGAGTAGGCCATCTTAATGAACTGACATATCTTCGGTGCATTGCTCCTTCTCTGCGTCAGATACAATAACCTCAAAGAACTTACAAATAAATTGAAGCCCTCTAAAAAATTATAAATCTGACGGTGTTAAACTGGCAATATTCTCTCCTAGGCGGAAAACGGCAAGGAGTCCATAGTTCACTCTACCAAATCCCCTCCCACCTTTTTTATGAGATTGTGTCCTTGGGTAAACATTCACATTTTCAAACTGCTAAACTCTGTTTTTTCAAATGAGACATTTTGTGTTATCAAGTCCGGAACTAATTTCTCTGTCGTAGGTAACGCATTTGCTCGGCTTAAAATTTTCCATACTCAGAGAAAAAAACACTGTAAAATAGCATGTTTAAAATAACAATTTAAACATGTCATATTTTTAAAACCAAAAAGCCATCATTATAAATTATAAGGATTTTTTTCTTCTATAATAAAATACTTTCTTTGAAAATATAACGCATATTTGTTTGCCAACGAAACAAACAGCAACAAAATTGAATAAAGTTACAACTTACGCATTAAAACGTAAATAGAACCCGACTTTTTATACCGTTTAACTTACATAAAACAGATTTTTTTCAATTATACATAATTAGGTTAAGGTAATAAAATCAAAGAAAATTTGTAAAAGTATTTGCTGCTAGTTTGATCCAAGCTTGTTTCCAAGATGCGACTTTTGCTTTGTTTGTTATTCCGTTATCCCCTAAAATGATGCAATAAAAATCAGTTGGTAAAATAAACACTGCTCCACCAAAAAAACTTTTCGCAGAACTCTGCTCTCGAATCAATATCCGAAAGAGCGCCTTTTAAGCCCTCTTTGGAAAGATAAAAAATATATAAAAAAAGATAGCTGTGACTGTATTATATATTTAATGTCCTTGGTTTTTGTAAGTGTAATGTAATGAGATTATACCCACCTAAGTCCGCCCCTAATATTCTGTCCTTTTTTACTTTATTACCTTTATTGCCCCAGTTTTATTGTCGGCAGATAACTTCCATAATTGCCGGCCAAAGCCAGCACGATGAAGATTCATACAGACTTTACTACCTGTTTGCATAGATAGATGTAGGAATATTGAAATATTTTGTATTTGATTACGACACGGCAAAACAGCTGTCATATACCAATAAATAACTATGAAAATCTGATTTTTTTTTTGTTCTAATTTAATTGCGTAATACAATAAATGAATTATGCACTTTATTGGTTTATTTTGGTTAGTCAACTAGTATTTCGGACTAAATCAAACATTGTCCGCTCAACTCACGACATCGATATTGAACCACAAAGCTAAACTGGGGAACAATAAGAGCTGCCAACAATCTTATACTAACGAGTCGCTCTCGAGTGCCGCGAACATAAAAAAAGAACAGGAAGTCGCTCGGAATATTAACAATAATAATTGACGAAATTAGATTGAAAATAAACTTAGATTGGCATTAGTGTTGACATCCTGACCCACAAACGAACCTTTATCGAGTAATTCAATGAATTGCGGAAACGCCTCCTTGTTAATTCGCTAATTCGCCATACGATTGATGAATCAGGAGCAAGCGGAATTGCGCCGGTGCCTCCTCGTTAAACGAATTTACTCCAACTCCAAAAAGACGAAAAACAATGAAAATGAATATTAAAAAAATAATAAAAGACAATAAAGAAAAAAAAATCATCAACCAACTATAACTAATAACAGAGAAGTTAGTAACTCCTTGTTTTTAAATCACAACTTTAATATATTTTTTTTTGGCAAATTTGGTGTAAATTTGTAAAATGAGTTGAACATTTAAATAATGTGTGAATTTTTAAAAATTTTAATCAGTTCCTAAAGTTCCAGCTAGTTTTTAAACATTTTTTACCCTCACAAGAATTTTAAATATTGACTCACAGCTAGAAGGTGTGAATTTCACTTGCGTGCATTTCTATTTTTCTTGTTACTTTCAAAAAAATCGATTAAATCGAATTTTTCGAAAGCATGCGCTCTTGGAAATGAAACTTATATCTCGGAAACTGTGCGTCGTACAGTGTCGCCGTTGATACAGATGTAATCAGCATCGAAAAAGATTTTTTTTTATTTTTTGTCTGTTCTCCGTTTTTTGTTTTCTGCGCTCTCTATAAAAATGCAAATAACTTCCGTAATTAGACCTTGGCGTCTATTTTTTTTTTATTTTCCCCATTAAAACTGGGGAAGCTGGAGGCCGGGAACTATTTTAAAAACAATAAAAACCACCTTTGCAACGATCCA